GCTCTGTTCCCTTGGCAATGTCACTGTAACATCAATTTTCAGTTCCCCTGTCTGTAACTCCAGGAATATTGCATTAGGATGTAATTGCTAAGAAAAAGCCTGGGACAAAGCCTGAAAAATTGAATACTGAGGAAAGCACTGCAGTTCCCAGGAAGTATGCTAGGAAGTCACTGTTTTTGAAACTGTGACTCCTACACTTATCAACACTGATCTGATAACATAGTCAAAAAACACTGAAATATTCTCCTATCAATAATAAATCTCCTAAGCCAGAAAGGCTCAGATGAGCTGAAGCTCAGGATGGATTTACTTTGTGTAATCCATGAATCAAATCCCTAAGCAACATCTCTCTTTCCTGACCTCTCCCAGGCTCCCGTGGAAGGAATTGCAATCCTACATCAATTCCCATTTTCCTCTGGGCTGCAGAGGATGTCTGTTGTTTCGCAGAAGATCGGAGAGGAGCAGTACGACCTGTACATGAAAGGAGCACCAGAGACAGTGTCCAGCTTTTGCAGACAAGAAACCGGTATAGATGTGGGGGAGGGCAGCTTTCTAGCATTTATTAGAACTTAATCCAAAGCAGACCTTGAACTGTAATCCTAAAAGATTTGCAGCACTCGCTCTGCAACTGCATGTATACGATTCCTCCTACAAACAAGTCTTAGCCTTGTGCAGAAGTGTCATTAGTTAAAAGCACAAATAAGCCTTCATTGCTTGTGTGTATGTTAGGATGCACGTAGCCCAGCAGGGAGAGATGCACAGCCTGTGGTTTGGCCACTATACATCACTTAGCTGATGTGCATCAGCTGAAGATACAGCTTGTAAATAACGTTGATATGTCGAATACTCAGGGTAGGTGTGGGGTGGTGGTAATTGCATGTGTCACAGCCACTCTGTTGTGCTGCATGAGTTCTTAAATTTTCTGTTAATTTATTGACCTGTAAATTCAGTATTTATTTACTGACCCAGCTTACATAGGCTTTAAATCTCAGCAATGGGTAACTTGCTGTGGACATACAAATTACTGTTATTAAGGATAATTGCTATTAACACTCAAGCCAAGGCTTCTGTCCTCTCTCTGCAAGTAAACATCAGCTTTTCTTTTGTGTGTAAGAGCAATATAATAGGCCTGTTCTCAAATTTGCCTGCAAACTTGAAACCCAGGTCGTATTCACTGAGCATTTTGGAAGGATGCCAGCTGTGCAGGAGCAGTGGTCTGTGTCTCTGTGGTTTGCTATTTGAGATGGCAGCGAGCTGAGAACAGGTGAAAATAGTTTTGAGGGACAATGGAAAGATTCAGTTTAAAGACCTAATGACACAAACTGCCAAACAATTCCATGTCAGTAAGAAAAATATCTTTTAAGAAGTTGTTCCACTTTCTCAGGTTTCTAAATGGTTCCTCTCATTCAGTCTTGATTGTTTCTCTATTGATTACAGCTTAATAAATAATAGGGTTCCACACTGTAAAGCTATGATGTCAGTATGTAGTGATTACAAAATACTGTGAAGTGAAAAGGAACCCTTTGTTTTAGAGTCACTGGAACAATCAAAATTGAAAATTCAGGATATTGGGAGAATTTTCTCACTAAGGCATAAACATAAAAGCAACTTTCTGAGCATTACTCAGCACGTACACAGAAAAGATCAGGCCAGAGCTATGGAAACACTCATTTGTTCTCTGCTTAGTAATGCACTGTGCATACCTGCACCTTAACATGAATTTTAAAAGTATGAAATAGACTCATGGATCAGTCAGTTGCACAGCCATTGTACAAACCAACTGGCCTGTATGAGAGGGCACAGTACTGAAAGTCTATTGAAAGGCTATAAAGCGTGTCACAGGACAGACTTTAACCTCAGAGGAGCAATCAGCAAGGATGGAACATTCTAACTACATAACTTTCTATCCTGTAAACAGTCCCATCTGATTTCTTGGAGGAGCTTAAGACATACACAAGCCAAGGCTTCAGAGTCATCGCCCTGGCTCATAAAGTGTTGAGCCTCCCAGAGGATGTAGATGTGGGTGACCTAGAGAGGTAAGCAGTGCTGAATGGCTGTGAGCACCACTGTCACTTCTCTTCCTGATGGTTTGGCCTGGCCCAGCTCAGCCCAGCCCTTCCCATTCTCTCCTGCCCGAGGATGTGCATGGGGAAACTGAACCCCATCACGCCTTCCTCTCAGCAGATGCTGATTATGCTGTTAATTGCCTTGCAATTAACTACTGCTCTTGCAAGGCTCACCGAGCTGAATCTTTCAAGCTGGTAATTGTGCTTCAAAAGGGTGGATTAGGACTGAGATAGAAAGCTATGCTGAATGGGGGTTTCAGCCAGCCTGAGCCTGCCACTCTCTGCATTCACCTTGGCTGTGCAGGTCCTTCTAGGAGACAGCATAGCAAGGACAGGCAGCTGAAATGTGGACACTTGTTGAGCAGTGCAAGCTCATGCCAGTTGTGCTTCATGTTAGAGTGAACATGTTTCTAGCTGAGCACGCCTTTCCCAGCAATACAACCACTGGAGAGCCTTGTTCCTGGGAAGCACAACCATGTTTCTTTCCTTCTCCCAAGAGAGGAGGTGGAGTCTGGGCTGGAGTTTCTGGGCCTTCTGGTGATGGAGAACCGCCTGAAACCAGAGACAAAACCTGTGCTGCGAGAGCTGGCTGCTGCCCGCATCAGGAGCATCATGGTCACAGGTGAACCCCCCGCAGCCATGGCAGATGGGAGCAGCTCGCTCCTACAGCAGCCCCATGATGGAGGGAGGACTCAGGGAGCCAATCTCTGTGGTACCATTGGCAGGGGACAACCTTCAGACAGCAGTCACGGTGGCCAGGACTGCGCATATGATTCATGAGGACAGCAAAGTCATCATCGTTGAAGCCAGTGAACCAGAGGGCTCTGCTCCAGCTTCCATTGCCTGGCGGCTGGCAGAAGGCAGCAAAACAAGTGCAGCTGCTCCCAACGTGAGCACAGCCAAGGGAAGGCTGTTGGGTGCCAGGGTGAATTAGCAAAGCATTGATGTCTAATAACTGTTTTTTAGGTTTGGGCTCTCACTACAGATTTTGAAGCACTCAGAGGAGCATCGGGTGGGTTCCTATCTAGCCAGGGTATACAGAGTGAATCATCCATCTACAAGGAAGAGATAACTAATATAGAGGCTTTTTACTCAGGACTGCATGTATAACTGGCAATGCACTGCAGATCTCATGCTTGATGTGTACCTAATTAATGCATTTAGAAATACTTGTCTGCGAGAATGTTTGCTGGACCAAACTTTAGTGCCTAAATGAGCCAGCTATGCCTAACAGGTATCAGTGACACATGAGAACAAAGCTAGAAAATCCAGTATTGCCAGGCCTGAAGTCCCAGGAAAGGATGCTTCATGCCTGTCTCTCTCATGGGAGGCTGAAATGTGGTGTGGTCCACAGCAGAGATGGATGTAAAGTAGAAGGGAACATTCTGCCCAGTGTCAGGCACGCTGCCCTGGCTGAGAGCTGGTGGCACCACCATGGCTGCCTGTCAGCTCCAGAGATGGGCCTGTCCTGGGGACAAGGCTCCAAGGTGTCACGATCTTCTGTCTGAGGATAAATGCTGTCTTGTTTCTAGGAGGTGTGTGCCCATGCCCAGGAAAAGATTACCTTGGAAGGAGAAGGCTGCCACTACCATTTTGCAATGAATGGGAAGTCCTACCAGGTTCTTGTAAAGCACTTCTACAGCTTGCTGCCAAAAGTAAGTGCAGAGGAAACAAAGCACTTGCTCACTGCCCCTGCTTTATGTAAATGACAGCATTGTTCCAGCTGGGGAAAGGTGTCAGTACCTGTCAGTACCTGAAGTGCTGTCATTTCTGACAACTCAGAAGCCTCTCAGCACAGTTCGTGGTTAGACCGAGCAGCTTGCTGTCAGCATCTGAGAGACTTCAGGTGACCAGGGTGGCTGAGGTGTGCAAAGACCATGCCATGGTGGAATGACTCTGTGGTCACCTCCTCTACTTCGATTTAATTAAAAACAGCAGCCCAATTCCCACCTACTAATGCCAGAACTAGCAGTGTCTCCTGCTCAGCAGTGGCAGAAGGAGCATGAAATATCTGCATTTAGCAGCCTTCAGCTCCTGTCAACCTCTCACAAAATAGCTGCTGCTGGGAGAGAGATTTCTCTGAACAGAATTTCATGTTGGAAAAACCTTGATGTGAGCAGCATTATTGCCACAGTCACCAGCAGCACCATCTGTGCTGCAACAGGGAATGTCATGGGACACCTTACTGCTCCAAGGCTGTACATGGTGATGCTGGTCTGCCACAGAAAGGCAAGACAGAAGTCAGAGCAGAATGAAGTTGACTTTAGGTGAAATCTGATCCTAAGGGCAATTAAATTACTGTCAGGGCTGGGAGACAGCATTAGAGGTTTGTGCCATCAGGGATCCTGACCTTGCCTCCACAGGGCATGAACACCCACCTCAAAGCTGCTCCTTTCTCTGTCCTGCAGATTCTTCTGAATGCAACTGTCTTTGCTAGGATGTCTCCTGGCCAAAAATCCAGCCTTGTTGAAGAGCTTCAAAAACTCAAGTAAGGTTCTGTTCCCTTTCTTCTTGAACCCAAGCAAAGAAAGATGCATGTAGCTCCATCCAACCCTCCTTGCACCTGCTGTGGCTGCACTGAAGGCTCTGTGAAATGGAGCTGAGCTAAAATCACAGACAGACTCCAAAATACAATGACCATCCTTCCCCCCAAATTTTCACTCCTTTCATCACTGTTCTCCTTCCTTTCTCTCCACCAGTTACTACGTGGGTATGTGTGGCGATGGAGCCAATGACTGTGGGGTACGTAGGAGCAAATCTCCCTCCTTCATATCACTCCTTTCAACCTATAGGGTAAAGAGGCGAGATATTTCTTGGCACTCCACTTCACAAGCATTTCCCAAGCTAGCACATATGTGTGCTCAGTCAGAATGCTGTTAAACATTACCTATGTGCATCTTTCCCCTAGAAATAAGAACAGGTACACTACTTACATATTTGTTCAAATGCAAATTTGAGGACCTTAATGCTCAAAATCATTATTACGTTGTCTATTACATTGCTACAATAAATGTGTTACCATAATATCATTTTGTAACAGCATTAGCTGGTTTGGTGTAAGCCATCCATAACCTGTTCCTTAGTGCTAGGCCAGAGGGGAAAGGGCTGGCTCACATGGACCTCATAAGAAATAAAAGAAATATGATCAAGAGATGAAAAGGAGCGGAACAAGGAGAACATGCTGATTTAAGTAGTTTGGCAGTTGTTCAACAGGAGAGGTATGCACAAACCCCAACAGGCTTTGTGGGAGACAGAGAAGGGTAGTTCAGAGAACTGTAAATAGGCACAGTGGGATTAAATGAACAAAAGAAATATTTAAGCTCTAGAGGAGGAAAGATATCTGAAAAATGAGATCAGCTGGGCCACAGAATAAGGAAACATCAATGACAAAGCACACTTGAAAACATGTGAAGCACCACTAAATGCAGTGGGAAGGGTGGATGTGTGCCTCTCCAGCTTCCCGCTCCTGTGGGTTTCAGGCTTTGAAGGTGGCCCACGCTGGGATATCGCTGTCTGAGCAGGAGGCATCGGTGGCTTCACCTTTCACCTCGCAGATCCCCAACATCCAGTGTGTGCCAGAGCTGATCAGGTTGGTTGGCTGCTGCCCTGCGTTGGGCTCAGGACAATGCCTGCACCAAGTTCAGTGCATGGGGTCACGAGTGTGAGATGCACAGCAGTGCACAGGGATCCTGGGGAGCTTGGCAAAGGAAACAAGTTGTTTGTGTTTGTTTATGGCCAGCTGCACATATATACATATATTTATGTATAGCTGTGTACACGCTACCCTCAAATATGCTGATAAATCAAACTTAATTTCTCAGTAACAACATAAAATCCATAAATTCCAGAGTGTTGCACATAGGGACTGATAATTTTGGAACAGGTAGGACAAGAGGGAACGGCTTCAAGGTGTGCCAGGGGAGGTTTAGGTTGGATAATAGAAAAAAATTCTCAGAAAGAGTGGCTGGGCATTGGCACAGGCTGCCCAGGGAGATGGTGGGGTCACCGTTTCTGGAGCTGTGACACTGAGGGCACGGTCAGTGGGCATGCTGGGATGGGTTGGGGTCAGACTAGATGATCTTAGTCGTCTTTTCCAACCTTAGTGATTCTATGACTGCAGGTACAGAAGTACAGTTCCGTGAAAAGGCAGGTATAATGGTTAACACAGAACAGATTTGCTTGTCAGTACCTACAAATTTCATATCCAAGTGCTGTATGTAGTCATTGAACAGCCAGGAATAATGCCATTTAGCCAAATGTATGCAAAGACGATTTTGTGTGGCAGTGCACTTGATTCCCAGAACTGCTGAGCAAATCTGCAAAGAAAAAACAACAGCAGCTTAAGCCAGGTATTAAAATCATAGCAGCAGAATAAACATGAGGAAACAAAACATTGCAGATGAGGGGTAGCTAAGTGGCTCTGCAGTATCTTAAGGCCAAAATACATCTATGGAATTTAAACTATCTTCCATTCTTCTCTAAGAGTCTTAACCAAAGGATTTACTCTGCTTAGAAGCAGTAGCAACCTGCAGCACTGCAACATCAGGATGGCACACCTCCTGCTGTGGTAAGGGGGCAGTTTCAGCTTTGTTTTGTGTTTTGAGCAGGGAAGGTCGAGCTGCTTTGGTGGCTTCCTTTGCTGTGGTTAAATATCTGACCCTGTATGGCCTGATACAGTTTGTTGGCACTGCTCTGCTGTTCTGGGTAAGTGTATAATGCCCACCTTGCACTGGCAAGCTGTGCTCATGTGGGGTTTTGTCTTTAGTTGTATTACTCAATAGGGACAAAACAGCATATGCACCCTCAAGGAATCACAAACAAGTGAAAAGTTGGATAACCTATTAAATGATTATTCAGCTAAGCATTTCAGTTAATATCAGGATAGTTGAATCAAATGACAATGACATAACCTTGCTTTTGCAGCCATTAATTTGGGTGCACCAGCCATGTCTGTGTCCCCATGACTCACATAAGTTTAAAGTTGGGCATAATGTGGAACTCCAGCCATGCCTGCCATTACTGGGGGCTACAAGTGACCTGATTTGAGTGCTCTACAAGGAATGGTGTCTGCTGGGATAAAGGTGGAAAAACATTCACCTGCTACTGGGTCACTCATAAGCATTTTGAGTTGCAACAGGCTGGGTGGCACTCAGCTAGGCTCACTCTGCACCTATGGGTGCACCCAGATGCTGCTGCTCTGAGATAGTATGGGGCAGTATTTTGTAACCCCACAGATGTTGGTAGTCAGGTGGTGCCTTCTTTGTTTTTATTTCAGCAGCTGCAAATCTTTGGGAATTACCAGTATTTGATGCAAGATGTGGTCATTACTCTCCTGGTCTGCCTAACAAGTAAGCAGCGTGGTAAAGCCCCTGTGTTTGTTTGAAAGCATGAGTGTAAATAGCCAACTTCATTTCTCAGCAAATATTAAAGCAAGGAGCCAAGTTCTGCCATCAGTAACTGTAACCACTGGTGGCAGAGCAATCCCTTGGCCACTGACTACAAATCTCTCTGCTTTCTCTCCAGTGAGTCTGACTGAAGCCTACCCAAAGCTAGCACCCTATCGCCCTCCTGGCCAGCTCATCTCCCCCCCTTTGCTGCTTTCTATTGTCCTCAACGTGTGCTTTACCATAGCCATGCAGACCTGTGGCTTCCTCCTAGTGAAGCAGCAGCCCTGGTATGTAGCGCTGGCCAGCTGGAGGTGAGTCCCTCTCCTTGCCAGGACCCCCAGAACACAGCTCTAGTTATGGGGTACACTGCAGCTGTCAGCAAGACCAGACCAGCACATGAATGTGCCACAAAGCCAGAGTTTCTGGAGCAATGTGCAAGGAACTGGGCCTTCTCCTCACTGCTGTACATTGAGTATTGCTGTCGCTGCCTAGCTGGGGGCTGAGATGTGGCACACGGCAATAGTTAAGCAGCTTTCTAAGAAATATATGGTAACATGTTAGAAAGCACAATGATAACAGCATAAAAACAAAGTCCTAGGCTGTAGCAAGTGAGGAGCAGTTCAAATGTGGCAGCTGTGGGCATGGAAACAAAACAAAGAACCTCCTTACCTTTAGAAGGCCTCAGGTAGGCAGGGTTCTCCAGCAAGATCTACTTGCCTTTGCTGCCAACCCTTAAATGAGGTTTGGGAAGGGGTGCATCCTGGCTCCATCTCTTCTGGCCACTCAGGTACATTGCATGCACCTGAGCTCCTTGGGTTGGCCCTGCCTTCCCACCAGGTGCTCAATCACTGCTTCAAGCTGTGACTTTCAGCTACGTATACGTATACATGATATCTATTTACTGTGTTTTTTATTGCTGCCAGTGATATCTGGTTGCTGCGGGTAGGAAAGGAGAAAGGGTTGTTGTTGCAGCTCACTCTTGCAGAAGGCAGGAACAAGATGATGATTGTTACTTTGCAGACACTGTTCACTCAGGAACCACACCTTGCTCCCCACTGGCCCAGGGGAAAACAGTACCAGCAGCAGTGCCCAGAGCACTGTCCTCAGCTATGAAGACACAACGTTGTGGCCGCTGTCCTCCATCAACTGCATCATTGTGGCCTTTGTCTTTTCCAAGGGAAAGCCCTTCCGCAAGCCCATCTACACCAATTGTGAGTAGAGCTGGAACACATGTGCTCTGTACACTCCCTTTCTGCCCCAAAATCTTCCTGGCAGAAGAGAAGGCAAAGAACGATGTAGCTTTTTCTGTACCCACACCAGTGACTGGCACGTGATGTAATTGTTGTGTATGTGCTCCTGCTTCCCTCCTTAAAGAATCTCAGTGAACACTGCCTAAGTTAGTTTCCCTCTAGCAAAAAGGAGCAGCAGAGCTGAAAAAGAAAACTGTGTTTTGGAAAAGAGATGCTTTTCAGAAGATGATGTACTGCACTTAGTGCAGAACTGTGTATTACTGAGAACACAGTGTGCAAGGATCAGATGTATTTGTTTCAAAATCCACACATGAAATAGAGTTCCTCTGAGATTCAGTTTTACCTTGCCTGACTTCCATTCCGAGAGATGAGAGAGAAAAGCCTGTAATAATAATATCACTGTTAAAATCCTCTCACAATAACCTTTCCTTCTCTATTTGAGATTTGCAGAGATGATTTACCTCTACCACCCTCCAGCTGACTTATAGCTCCTTTGCAATTGCAGCTTTTTACTCACGGATGAGAGAGCAGGATCTTGCTTAACCTTGGCAGAGCTGATTTCGCTAGTTTTTTTTGGCAATAGGCTGGTCCCAAACTCATTTCACAGAGCCCTGATCACCTGCAGGAGAGAGGGGACGTCAGAAGGAATCTGCTCTGCAATACCAAATCACCTGGGTGAGAAAAGCAGTATAGGTAGGGAGGTTTGCAACAGACCGCTAGGGAATAGCTCAGCTAGGTTTCAATCCCATAGGTCTTCTAGGCACAGCACCCCCTCAAACAAATAACACTACAAAAGTACAGGCTAGCAGCAATACAGCACTAGTGTTTGGGACTGCCATGAGTGTATCTGAAGAGTCCACCCACCAAAGCCCCTTTCCCAGGGCCACCCATGCTCTTGTTTCTCCAGATGTATTTTCAGCCATTCTGACCCTCCAGCTCGCCATCTGCCTCTTCCTCTTCCTTGCTGACATGGATGCTGTGTACAGTGGCATGCAGGTAAGTGAAGACAAAGACAGAACATGCATTTATTTTTTGTTTTGCTGGATCTTTACCTATGCACACAGCACAAGCTACAGGTATGGCCACACTGGAAATGAACTCACTGGTTTGACGTTGCCTGGGCATCTCTTTCAAATTTCTGTATCATCCATTCAACAAGGGCTTGATTGATGAGGCAGCCCTCCCCTCCAGACTGCAATGGGCAGAAGAAAAAGTGCTTTGTTTCTTGCTGAGCTGTTCTTCCTAACAAAAAAACACAACAGCACAGAATGTGGGTTTGCATGTAGGAGGCTGCAGCTCTCTGGAATATTTGAGCTCTGAATGCTGATCTGCTGGTGTCTGTCTCAGGGTCAGTGGTGATGTGAAGCAGCTACATGCCATGGGGAATCTGGCATCAGCCCCTCCAAATCTCTGTGACAAGGAATTACTGTCACTGCCTACGGAATTCTCCATGCTTGCCATCGAGAAAGTATTAGTCAGCCTCTCCAGTCATTAGGAACAGATGCAAATCTTGGCAGGGCACTCAAACTTAATTGCTGCTCCTGTCTTTTCCAACAGTTTCTTTGCACTCCTGTGATCTGGAGAGTTTATGTCCTACTGATGCTCCTGGTCACCTTCTGTGTATCTTTTTTTACAGAGGTGAGTGCATTCATTTACTCTCTGTTCCCAGTAGTGAGCGGCATCTGTTCAGGACTTTCTTCCTCTGTTAGCAGCCACGTTCTTCCTGCAGATGCACAAACATGCTTTTTTTCATTTTTTCTCCTTTTTCCTTATTAGTCACTGTGTGTCAATCAAATCTACGTGATAGAGCACCTGATAGAAATGACTTAGCCCACATGTCTTAAGCTTGTAGAGTGTGAGCACTGTCATGCAGCTGACACAAATGATGCTTTGTGGGTCAGAGATGACTGTGCCACCCTGGGTGGGAGCATGGAGTTGCATCCTGTGGCAGGTATTTTTGCCTGCAAGGCAGCAAGCATGCAGTGTCCTTCACCACAAGAGGAAAATGCAATACCTGTACTGAAAAAGGATTGCCGTGGCTCACACAGCTATCGGGCTGGCACATGTCAGAGGGGCTGGCTTTGGTCTCCTCCCACTAATGCTGTGCTGTGTCACTCTGCAGGATGTTCTCCTGCAGAACAAGCACCTCTGGATGCTGATTAAAACCTGCGTTGGGTATCAGTCCAAAAGCCAGTACCGAAAGTGGCAGCAGATGCTGCAGAGGGATCCGAACTGGCCTCCTGTGAATACCAAGGACTTTGCAGCAAGAAGCACAGCTGAGGTTTACATTAACCCCAGCTATGAGCACAGGGACTAGGCGAGAGCCTGCAGCTGGGCACAGGGCTGCCTTGTCCCCGCTGACCGGTCCTGTTTGCATCGCTCCACAAGCACCGGGCTTGGATTCCTGTGCTCTCTGAACAAACCCCTCCATTCAGAGGCAAGCTAGCTGTGTCCTGGAATAGAGGCGAGGATTATTCTTTCTCTTGCTGCTAAAATAACAGCTTTGACTCTGCTCCATGGCAACAGTAGCTCTTCAGCATTGCCAGCACCTCCTACAAAGGCTCAACAACACTGAGCACAGCGAAGCTATGACTGCTGCTGCTCCAGCACTTAGACACTGCTCCACTAAACCCTGTCACTGCACCCATGGGGCTTGATGACCCAATTAGTGACCTAACCTTGACTGCATCAAGGAGCACAAGAGCAACTGCAAAATCCTGCATTAAATGAAACTTCAGCTTCCAAGCAAAATTCCACTTACAAGGCAATTCTGGTTTTCTTCCATTCTGGAATGAATTTCAAATGTGGGAGGGTGCACATGCTGTCCTTACTTCACCCTCCCTTGCCAGTTTTTGCAGACACAATGTGCTGAGCACAGGGAAAATTTCAGCTCAAGCACTGCAGCAGGCTGGAGCTGGGCTGGGATATGCACCCAGGGAATGAATAGCTGCCTCTTTACCCAAATTTAGTTCTCTCTTGGGTGCCACGTGGCACTGCTGCTCTCAGGGCACACTGGGTGGAAAGTTGCACAGAGCTGCTTGTTTTATCCAAGTCACGCCAAGAAGCAGTGGTTAATGTGCACCGCTGCTCTTCAGTTGCATCGTTCAGGAAGCTGAGCCAGGCTGGGCTTGTTCTCATCTTCATATTAATCAGACACTTCCTAAGTTTAGTCTTGAAAGATCTTCTGACTACATTTACAGGAAAATAGAACAGGGCTTCCAGGTTCTGTTACCAAGAGCCCAGTTTTATTTTAATACATTTTCTATGTTAAAAAAACAAACAAACAAACAAAAACAAACAAACAAAACAACCAACAATATTATTTCATTGTATTAACTACAAAATATGACTAGAAGGCTTGGCTTTGTTATTTCAAACACTGGAACAACCATTGTTTAAAAAAAGCTTCTGGTCCAGTTATATACATGGTGAGAGCAGACAAAAATAGCAAGCTGCTTACTGACAGCTCTTGCTCCCCTCTCTTATTTCTCCAGAATGCTGCACGTGGTGAAGGCACAGTTAGATTTCATTTCTTATATGCAACCTGCAAAAAAATACAGTTCCAAACATGCAAGCTGAACACTCTCCATGAAGAATCATAAATCACACTTCCACTCAAAACCTTTCTCCTAGGATGAGTTGCATGCCAGCTTTGTGCTCAGAGACAGTGAGACTTTGTAGGCATGGAGATGTTATGCAGCTCAACCTCCAGGTGTGGGACGTGGGCTGTGCTATCCTGCTGGCTGGGAGAAGACTTGTGCTGGAACAAGGGTCTGTCATGCTGGTCACTGCAATGGGCCCAGCTCCAGGCACAAAGACTGCCCTGAGATGCCCAGAGGCTTTTCTTTATAATCATAGAACCGTAGAATCATTATGGTTGGAAAAGAGCTCTATCATCATCCATCTAGTCTTGCATGGGCCTCTACAGCAGCGCTGCTGCATTACTTCTGGTAAGGAGATAAAAACAAAAAAGGTTAAAAACCAAGTAAAAATGCTCCTTCACACAGGTTAGGAAAGGTTATTCATAGAAAGCCCACAGGATGCATTCTGTAAAAACAGTTTATGTGCCAAAACCCTCAGCAGATCCCTGAGGCGTGAGGATAATTCACTCGTGAACGCCGCCAGACATTGCTGGTGATGCCATGACAGCAGCTGTAGCAAACAGACTGGGGCTGCCCTCTGAGAGAGGCACTGCTGGGAGTAAGGGCACAAACCACCCTGTGTCGCCAGCAGCTCCTGCCTGGCATCTCCTGCCCGGTGGCGTCTCAGTACTGCCTCTCTCGGCTCCGGCTCCGCAACAGGCCCAGCAGAGAGAAGGCACCTGCAGCCGCCGTCACAAACCCGATGGCACTGATGGCTCGGTTGGCCTGCGGAGGGAGAGCAAAACATAGGCACATGAATGAAGAGCAGGTAGAGCTAATCAGGGCAATGAAATGAGTAAGCGATCCCATGCCTTCATCCTTGTGCTGAACAAAAGCAGTACCCCAGCCCCAGGGAGCCTCCTGGTTCAGAGTATTTTGTGAGCCTGTGATGATTTGGACCCCAGCCCAGGGGCTGTACTGTCCCCATGCACAGCTGGAGCTGTGCCACAGTGCACAGACACACTAAGCGTCTCCATGCCAACCCCACAAGGATGGACCCTGGGCAGCATGTGTTGCCTACCTGCTCAGAGACCCCCTCGCCATAGCGGAGCAGCGTGACGAAGTGCTCGCAATTGTTTCCCAGCAAGTCGTAGGACACCTCCTGGTTGATGAGGTACTCGGCACGTCGGATGATCTCCTCCAGAGGGAGGGGAGCGTAGGTGCCATCGTACTTGTTGTTGATGCGGTAGGTGTCGTTTCCCACCACCTCCTTCAGAAGCTGCATCCTCACCATGGCCTTTCGGCTGAACACCGACTTGGCGCTGCCAAATGTGGCTGGTGGTCCCTCCTCTGGGGAAGGCACAGGGTGAGCCAGGCAGGTCCCACACAGCCTGGCCACGACCCCAGAGAGCTTGTCTGGCCCCTGGAGATGCCACCCATGGGGCTTGCAGCCCCTATCCTTTCCTCTCTCCCATCCTGGAGCTGCCATTTGGGGCTGACCACCTGCCCCACAGTGCTCTCAGCCATCCCAAAGCACCCACCCCACCTCACCAGCCTTACCCACAGGTGTTACGTTGATGATGTACCCATCTCCCAGGTAGAGAGCCCAGTGCTGGTATGCTGGCCGAAAGATCTCAATCAGGTCCCCAGGCTGGGGATCTCCAGGGTGGGCGGCACTGAAGCTCTCATTTGCTGCCATCTTGCAAAATCCAGCTCAGGACATTCTTCTCTGGCTGGGCAGCCCAGGGCAAGGCACGAGGGGAGCTCTGGGGTACACAGAGGTTGTTTGCTGGGGGCTGGCATGTCAGGAGGTCATTAGTGCCTGGCACTTGCAGCACAGGCAAATGACAGCTGGCCGCTGCTGTGCTGGATGCTGTTTGCAGGGCCTGGCTGTGATCAGTGTGCTGGCAGAGGGCAAGGAATGAAATCCACCCTTGTCCTGCTGAGCAATTGAAGCAAAAGGGTAAAGCCATCGTGGGCCAGCAACAGCTCCCAGCACTCACCCCCATCCCATTGCTCTCTGCTGGGGTCAGGGGGCCGAGCTGCCCCCCCTGACAAGCCCTGCTCCCATTGAGGCTCTCCCCAAAACAGCCCCCCCGGGCCGGCTCCGTCGGGCGGTGGCAGCCGCTCTCGTATACCGGCGGGGCCGCGGTGCCCCAAGCTGCGGAGCCGCATCCTGCTGCAGGCTCCCGCTCCCCGCTCCCCGCTCCCCGCCCGAGCTCTCCCCGCTCTCCCCGCTCACCCCTGTGTCCGTCCTGCTGCTGCCGCGGCCCCGAGCAAGCCCGGAGGCGGAAGCCGTCCCGATCCCTGGCTCCTCCCGGCCGCTATAAATAGCGAGGAGAGGGCGGCTGCCTGCTGCCTCACATCGTTGCTGAACTCGACTGCCGGGTATGAAGCGCTCCTATGGGGAGAGGGGTAAACGAGCGTCTCTCACCAGGAGTCCTCCAGAGAAGGAGTGGCGGTGCGGTGCGCTGCCACTTGACTTCTTTGCTGGCAAAGGGAAGAGACGGAGATGGAGCTCAGAGCCCGTCCCAGTTGCCGTTTTAGGGCAAAGACTTCAAGGATGGCTTTTCATGTGTCTTTGTGTTGTGACCCAGGGATTTCCTCCAGGTGTAGGAGAGCGTGGCCGTGCCCAGCACGTCCTCTGAGCGGAGGGGTGGGAGAGTGCAGCTGAGCAGCTGTGGCCAGCCCATGGCTGTTGCCAGAAAGGAAGGTTCACTGCCAGCAGATGTGTGCTCTGAGTGAGCTGAACCAAGCAGGAGATTTAATGCCCAGTGTCAGGAGAACTGATTGATTTGTAAGATCTGAGTAGTGTCAGATTTGTCATCTTTCTGGCTTCTATTAACAAGAATTAGATAATTCAGTGAAGCACTGCATTGCAGTTCTGCTTTCTTTATTACCCCCTTTCAAGTCTGAAGCACTTACAAGGTTTTGCAGTGGAAACTCGAAGCAATTCCTACCTTACTGAAATAGCAAAGTGTAACCATGGAAACCCTGAAATCTGCTTCACCTGTGTACAGATAGGCTGCATTACCTGGGAGAAATGGAGCTGTGATCCTGCAGGGTGTGGGGCATCCTGTGCTCCCAGCAGCTACAGCAGGAAGTGAGCACAGTCAGCAGCTCTCAACATGCACAGAACTGCACTGTTAGCAAGTGCAGGAGAGCAATAGGAAGCTGCTGCTGAACAGGCAGGAAAGCCGTGTTTAGAAACGTGGTGAAATTGCAGCATGACGTTGGCAATTTGTTTGTAGACAGGTAGGTCCCTCACACTGATTCATTCTCATTATGTAGTGAGGCTGAAAGCCCCTTTCCATTCACATTCACTCCTCAATGGCTGGGCTGTGTATGTATGAACAGCTGGTATGTTCTTGAATGGACCTAAGCAAAATGCCTTTTGTCCACCTGACTGCCCATGGGGATTACAAGTGCTTTCCTGGCTAGCAGTGCTGAGGGAGGTTAAGAAGCAAATATTTGGTAGAGGAGTAAAATGAGGTCTTTGCAAGAAGGAGATAAGGTGCAGCTGAAGGAAGGGGCTTTGCTGAAGGCAAGGAAGCTCTTGTCTGACATATTTCCTTGTCTCATGAGACCATGCAGAACTGCTGAGCAACAACAAGTGAACTTAGAGCAGGGAGAGATCATCACAAACAACACCTGGGCACTCAGAAAGGTCAACAAGCAGTAGATTTGGTGAGGGGAGACCACTTGAAGCCCCACCGATCCATTTCCAGAGTATTTTAAATCTCAAACTGCACATGTGAAGTAATGATGTATAAATAGTGTAACTCAGAGGAGCTGTGTGTGCACTCACTGCCATCATCCACAGATCAGGAACTGAACCAGAAATGTGGCTGAAACCCAAGATGGTCATCCTGACCTTTCCTCTACCTCTCTCCATCACTCCCTTCCCTCACTGTAGGTTGTTCAGCCCTTTGTAAAATAATGAGGTTAACTAGCTTCTCCCAAAATAGCTGCTGCCATCAATAAAATTTTTAGTCAATTGTTCCTTGTGTCTAAGAGCTTCACTCATGCCACTGGAAATTTGCTCAGGGCTTATACAATGCCTAGGCAGAGCTTCTGCCCCCTGAGTGGTGTTGGGACATTGGATTAACACTGAAGATCCAGCCTGTCCAATGCAGGAGCACAGGAACAGCAGCAATATCCTGTTATATCTCAGTGTGATGTCACGTGGTTTGGGATATTCCTTTGCTCATTGGGACCAGCTGTCCTGGCTATTCACCCTGCCAGCTCCTGGTGTGCTGCAAGCCTGCTCTCTGGCAGGGCAATGTGAGGAGCTGAAAAGACCTTGACTTTTGTAAGCACCATTTGGGAATAACTAAAGCATTGGTGTTTTATCAACATCGATTCCTTTTCCTTCTCCTTCTCCTTCTCCTTCTCCTTCTCCTTCTCCTTCTCCTTCCCTTCTCTTTTCCCCACAAATCCAAAAGATAGCACTACAGGAGCTGCTCTGATAAAAATCAGGTCTACCTCAGCCAAAATCAGTACAATGCCTAAATCTTGCCACAAACACTTCTGATATTCTACTACTGAAGAGTCCTTAGTGGAGTCCAAGCCTGAGCTGATGCAAATCTCTAACCACATCTGTAAGTGTGACAGCTTAAAAGTTTGCAAAGACCTCAAGAGAACTTTTGACAGGATTTCATTGTTGATGTAGATTTTGTTGCTTGCCATTAGCACCCACAGGCAAGGGCCGATGACAGTCCTCATTCTTGTCCACGCCAGACAGACAGCAAGGAGGCTGCTGTCACTCCAATAATCACTTCTTTCAGACTGGCACGTCCCAGTGGGATGCATGGAGTGCGTTATCTGTTATCAGATCAGTTTGATATTGTCTTATTTTTTCTTTTCTCCCCAATCAATCATGCCTTGACAAAAGAGCAGAACTGTTTCCAGCTCAGTCATCTGTTTCTCTCCTGTTTAAGTATTTGGGTATGGTGGTGTCATGACAACCTGCTTGAGATGCTATCATTAATTCTGACCTTGTCAGTCTGCTGCTAGTGCCTCCATCAGAGGTATGGATGTGATGGTGTGCAGCACAACTGTGCTTCTGAATTCAGCCTGGACTTAATGTTACCTCAACAGCCTCTGTGGACAATACAGTGTATAATGTGAGTTGAGACTTACTTCAGTTTGAGTCTGCAACATGAGAGCTGAGATATATTCCAGATGAAAAACTTCAGAAGCCTTCAGTAAATGCAATTATTTATTTATTATTTTGAAAGTGTTGGAAATATTATTAAAAATACAAGAGCAGAAAGCAATACATACGAATTGGGAAAAACAAAACAAAGCACGCTAACTACAGGTATGTACTTCGGGGTTCATCTTGGTCAAATGCAGCATTCACCACGTAGCCATAATTGTGTTCACGTACTCCACCACCTGATGTATCCTCAGACTTGTGCAAAGATGAATTCCGTGCATTGATATTTGCATCTGCCTTTCTCCTCCTTCTGTACACAGACAAAACAAACAAACACCAACAACCATCTTTAATTTCTTATCTGCAATGGGAGGTCAAACTGTGGTGCGAGTGTGCATGTCAGACCCTGAAGAATCCCGAGTGTTGTGATAGTGATGCGTATGCCTTATGTGATAGGAATGGAACCTCTTCATTCCTGTAGAAAAAAGCTTTCTCTCATAGTCCTCAAATGATATCTTGAATGCTGTACTTCCTTTTTGTTTCTGCAGATGTGGGATAGCAGGTGTACGGACGCTAAAGTGAGTATGTCTTGCCCTTGCTGAATGTAGCAAAGCCAGGAATAGTCTTACCTGAAGAGATACACTGTAGAGGTGATGAGAATGACAACAGCAACCACTGCTACTGTAACTCCAACAGCGATGGCAACTGTATAGCTCTGAGAATTGCTCTCTGGGATACTGGTGTCATCTGAAGAAGAAATGAGCCTGGTCACTGTAAGTGCTAAGAGCACTGAGAACTGAAGGATCTCCTCTATTTCAAGTGTGAAACTGCACTCTGTGGAATCAGACGTGCTTGTCTGCTTGATTTATATTGTGTTCTCTGACTGAACTGGCTTTCTGGAATGGTGTTAGACCAAGGTCCTGTATGCTCTGCAGAGCCCTGCTGCCATGCTCTCTAGTATCAGTTTGCTGAGGGATCTGCCCCCTTCTTTCTGTTTGAATGTACTAATACAGACCTGACCACCCAGCTTGTGGTACAAGGCCCAGTTTCTACTTGAAGCAACAGTGTCACTGACTTGGTAGGAACCTGTACTGGAATATTTCTAGTGTCAGCTTCCACTCTGCCTGGGGCTAAAACACAGCCTGCCCTTGAAAAGATGTGATGAGGTCCCAGACAGATCTGACACCCCCTCCCACTGAGTTCCTTATTGATTCACAGCATGGAAATTAAGAGCCAGCTCAGTCTTCTCCATAATGACACACCTTTTTTTTTTTTTGAACTAGTGGTGTGTGTAATTCAGGCAGTGAAATCCAAACTAATTTTATTACCCATCCTTTCAATGTTGCAGCTTTGTCCTGTGTACAGCTCTGTACATTCACAGTAGTAGCTGTCAGAGGTGCCGTTGGTTGTTTCAGAGCAAATTCCATCATTCTGGCAAGGACTTGGCATACATGGTCCAGCTAGCAAAAAGGAAGGAGAAAGGCTTGAGAATCTCATGTAATCCAGCCCTGAGAGAATTGCTCTTGGTTAGATTACACTGCTACTGCTGGACATGCCCTGTATTTTAAGGTCTGCTATTTGTTTTGTGTTTGATAACAGGAGTATGGGAAAGAAACACTTTCTATGACAAAACATCAGAGAAAGTTCTCCAGTAATCTTATTAAGTCAGCTTATTATTTCTTCTGTTCAGACTGCTGCAAATAGCCCAGACGCAGATACATCCTATAAGCAGTAACTCAAGACTTCTTAGCAGTGAAGGTTTAGTGGTTCACTTACTCCTGTAGCACCCACGAGTGTAGTTTGCGATGTTACAGATTTCATCAGAACCACACGCTATGTTAGTGCAGGTGACAGAGGAGCTCTCTGTGCACTGGCATTTCTGGGAGCAGTCATCAGTGGTGAACTCTTCTCCAATCTGGAAGACAGCAGATGAATGTTAAAAAATATCAAAATATCAGTATCAAAAACGTGAATGGAACACTAGAGCCCCATGCTACTCTGATTCTTCTTGATGAAAGACAACATGGCAGATCTCTCTTTTTTGTACTTTGAATACAGAAAGCAAGCAAGCAGCTCATTAACCCAGTTCCTTGAAACTCAAGGAATACTGATGAAAGTTCGAGGTGTGAGATCCTAGCCCCAGGTTGGGTACATGGACAACCAACAATATCTAACTGTTGCTGGAGATAAAGTAGCAAATGCATCATGTTGTGCCTCCAAGACAATGTGCAAAGCTGCCATGTGTCACTTCTCTGGCAAGCCCCATTTGTTTAGAATGTCTACCTCCTCCCATAACACCTTCTTTACTTGCTTTAGGCTTTGTCTATATCAAATCTTCACTGCCAAAACGACTACAGAGCTTTTTGTCCCACAGCTGGAAGTGTGGGATCTCTGGATTCCTCAGAATCCAACCTCGCTGGGGTTCTCTTCATGCTGCAGCCAACATTACAGACTCAGCCCCTTCTGTGCCACTCTTCACTGAAAGGAGAGGGACCATGGTGTCCAAGGGAATTTTTCTATGGCTGGTGTATTATACATTTTAGAACCTATTCTGGCTGTTTACAGTAATAAAGGTGAAAAATTAACAAGGAGGTCAGAGTGTAATCATATTCTTCCCCCAAGTGCCTGCAAAGTATTCTGACAGGCAGGGTTTCAGAGGCAGACTGAGCAATGCATTCTCTCTTCCCTACCTCCAGAGACCAGAATATTATTAAATAAATTGCTCTTTGTTTCAAAGTTACATGCTGAGGAGAACAAAGAGATTATCAAAATAATTAGCACAAGAAAATATTGTTTAGCACTGCGGGGGCTGTCTGGCCTGCTGAGACATTGTACCTCATAATATTTGTCAAGGTATGTGCAGCCACATTCTCTGTAAGGCACGCAGTCAGAGTCACTTAGAATGTAGCCAGGGAGACATTCACAGCCTTCAACACAAGGCGATTCACACTCGGAGGGGCTGGTCATGTCGCTGCAGGATGCTGGGCATGCAGTCATGCATGAGTTGTATTTGCTGTTGGATGGACATGACATCTCTGTAAAAATAAGGAGAGTCCAGTTATAACAGGTTGCAGCTACACATTGCCTCCTCAGAGCTGTTTTGTAAGGGCAAAATGATGAACACACATACACAGAAATATTCATACATATATAATGGTAATGAAGTTATAAGTGAATGACTCCACAGTAAGGAAATCCATTCTCAAAGCTATTCATATGCTGTGCTCAGAGTCCAGGTTTTCACTGATATCAAATTACTTCTCACACATACGGAGTAGCTGAAAGCATCAGAGTAGTTTCACAGCTCTGAGAAGTGTATTTCAGAAATACAAAATCCTCTACCCATGGGTGATGCAAGGTAAGTATGGCCTGGATTAACCACTCAGCTTGGGAAAAAAATGTTTGGAAAAAGAGGTTTGAGATCATTGTAAATTCTGTTTCAGCATTTTTCAGTCTGAAAGACCAGTTGGGAATGGAGATGTTTTATTTTTCTCATGGAACTTCTCATGGCAGGGGAGCTGACTACTCTACTCCCCTAAGTAGCTTTCTAAAGTGGAGTCCAGTACAAAACATCAACATAAGACTCAGAGGCAGCAATAGAAGAGGAAGTGTGTGTGCTAAACTACGAACAAGATTGAAGTGTGCATCAATGTCTGTAAGACCTTTTTTGTATGTTTGTAAGACCATGCATGACATGACATCCATGACATGCAAAGCTTCTAGCAAAAACTTCTAATCTCATATTTTGAGAGTCCTTTAGCCAGAAACCACACTTTCATTTTCTTCCTGTACTCACCACAAGCAGTCTGTTGCCTCCAGCCTTCCATATCGACTCCTTGCTCCTGACAAGCAAGCACGTACTCTTTCAGATGGCGACATAACGTCTCAGCAGCATCTTCTTCCACACACATATCAAAGACACAGCTCCTGTATGCAACATGAGAAAGCATTAGTGCTCTATACCTTTTATTTTTTGTTTGCTGGTGCTACCTTCTCAACTTTGCTGATCATCTGAGTATCAGTGGCCTGATTTTCAGAGGCAGTGAGAACTGAGGTGAATGGGATCTGCAAATATACAGTATCTCAGAAAAATAAAGCAGCTACTAAGAAAGTAAAATGGGCTGCCCAATCAAATTCTAGAGTGAGGAGAAAGGTGGGCTTACATTAAGAATCAGGATATAGACCCTGAAGTCAATGGCCCATTTGTTTGGTTTAAGGCACTTTCACGTTCCTCTCACAGCTAAGAGAGGCTTTGAAGTGGGCACCACCTTTCATTGTACATGACTTACAACTACATGAGTAAAGAAATCTGGCAGCTGCTTGGCCATTCTTTGACTGATGATGGATGAATGATGATCCTAAGAATTAATCAACAGGTTTCATATGGTTCAAAACCAGGTGTGTGGGAACTGTGTACATAGGAGGCCGGATGAACAGAGGGAAATTTCTTGCCACTGCCATGTAAGTTATTCTTCACTAAACTGTTTTTTTGCACCACTCTGTGAAAAACTGAAGAACTGTCACTGACAGCGTTAGTCTCTGCAGCTCTGACTTGAAGACTGCATTTTACAAAACTACAATTTCTGAAAGGAATCTAATAGGGGCAGGTACTGACTAAATTATCACTGAATGTGAATGAGAACTCTGAGAACACTGGAGATCCCAACCTACAGGTATAATGTTCAGTGCTGCTGCCTTAGGTAAAGAGGAAAGCTACTTTCTAGAGATAACAGAAAAGTGAAACTAAATAGAGAGAAAACAAATCTTAATTAAAAAAAAATAATAAGGGGAACTAAACATATAACTAATAGAAGCTCTGGACAGTTCTCCGAAGACATTTACTATCCTCTGTTCCTGGAAACTGAAGATGTACGGTTCTTATTAGAGACAAGCTCCAAAATTGTTTTGGAAGTGCAGATTAAAATTGCCCAGATTGCAGCAGACACTTACAAGTAGTAGGGCTCTGGTGGGACTTCAGAATGACAATTTGCAAAAGGACCGTCCAATGCAGTCAGGATTTGACATTTAGAAGTGCTGTTTTCTTGCATCAGCTCATTTTCACTGCAGCCTTGATAGAGCCCTGTATCTGGTTCCTCATCACTCTCATCTTCCACAACAGCTTCTCGGCTGGAAATGAAGTCATTATGAAACCATCAGATCTCTGTACATCCAGCATTCATAGCACTAGTTTGCAAGTAACAGCATCTCTGCCTTGTGATAGAATTGTCAGATTATTTCTTTCTCAATTTTTATACTGAATGTGAAGTGGGTATATAAAGTAAATCAAAGATGTACTAGAACAATTCCTACCATTTTAGAGATATATGGGTTTTTAAATCTAAAAGAATAGCTGTTGTTATCTCCATGGAGATTCGATATGCCACAGGTTTCATCCAGGCCTCCTTCACCTAAGCCATTCAATAATAATTGAATGCTAGGCAGCGTAGTAGACCACCATTTCTTGGAGGTATGTTCACTTTCACTGGAGAACTGGCTACATGCCTGAAGTGTCAGAATTCTCCAGACATAACTTTCCAGAGCCTCTCTATGCTCAATATTAGCCTACATGCTGCTTTCAGCTATTCTGCTGGACAGGTTTTCACGGCTAAATTGTATCCTGATGGCTAATACAATTCTATTTACATACTGAAAAGAAATACAAATAATATAATGATTTCTGTTGGTGGTTAAGCAACCTCGAAAACCTTCCAAAGCAAATTGAAAAGCTGGAAGGAGAGAAGAAAACTTAGTTCCCTGTTTCAGTGTTCTGTATGGACTAACTAGGGCAGCTTGGCCTGATCACAAATATCACACTGATTTTGATTCAAAAGAATGTCCCAGGTTTTTTTTGTACTAGCAGAAAACACAATGTAGTTGTGAAAATAGGGAAGTTAGATACCAGAAGAATCTCTTCAGTGAGGAACCTTGAATTCATCTTGATGGATTTTGAAAGTGCCTTCATGTTCCAGAGGGAGGGATGACACTGAACCAGGATCTGCCTGCTCAGCCAGCAAATGATGCATTTAACCTTTGCCAGGACCCACAAGCTTGGCAGATACCATATATACCTGTGCCCTAGCTGTTGTAACGGCTGTGACTCTGAAGAAGCACACTGAACTAAAGCAGTGCAGTGACAGCTCAGGCCTCTTTTGGCAAGATGGAAAGGCACTGGTATTGCACCTTAGTGTTGAGTAGGAAAAGTCCTTGGAAGACCAAAGAAAGAAGTAGTAACAGAAACCTGACTGCATAGTTAGACCTGAATATTAACTATGGCTTAATTTCCTGACTTCCAGTGGCTGTGCTTGCCAGGGATATTAATTAGAACACTAGGTACCTGAAACGAGAGGTTCTTTCCACAGGAACCTTCCAGCTCTCACCAAATGCATTCACATTCTTCAGCCAAACACCATCTGGGTTTGTGAAGTCATTTCTAGATTTCCCGTCAAAGTTACCACACAAACCTTCTACTCTGTTGTTGTAGGTGTTGGCCAGCTTTATATCTAGGAAAGTTCAAAGGAAAAAATAGCCATTACAAAGAAATATTTTCTTCCAAGTATATGGAGGAGGTGGAAAGAAGTGTGAAGTACTGAATTCCATGATTCAGACTGCGGTTGGTAGTGTGATGCAGGATTTGAAATCATCAGAAAAACCATGGCTGTGTTACATCGTAAAGCAGGGGCAACTCCACTTTGAACAGAGGAGGTAATGTGTTTTCAGCTTATATGAATGAGTTCTGTATGCATGATACAGAAGTCCTGCTGAGAAACACTGAAGAATGAGATTATCTGGAACGCGCTTGAGAGGAAGCATGTAAAAGAATGCACTCTCAGTTGTTCAGCTTGGGGACCTCAGTCGGGTAACTGGGTTAAGCTGGGAAAGGGGCAGATCCATACTTGCCCCTATCTTTCTGATCAGCAGCTTAAAGTCATTTGCTTTTGTTTCCATCAGTCAAGCCTTACTTAACATTAAAAATAGCAGAACAGTCTGACTCCACATAGAATTTCTCCTAAATTCAGGTGGACGCAGATAAAGAAGTGCCAACATCCATGAGAAATAATTTTTGTTTCACTTTTCTGGAAGATCGTGTCACAAAAAAACCACAGGCTTAAAGGGTGAAATTTCTAATTTTACCTTGAGTTTAGGCCTACTTGGTAATGATAACATTATTTGACACAGTGCATAAATATTCCTGCAGATTGTTTTAGTATCACTTACCTGCATTTTGATCACCATCAAAGCTCAGGTATAAGCCAAAATCTGTCTCCATGTAAATTCTTGTTGTCCTCTGATAGATACGAATACCGTCATGAGGACGAACAGGGGCTCTCACCCTTACGCCATCCAACTAAAAGGGAAAGAATAAGTTAATACTTACAATATACATGCCAAATTCATACGTGGCTTTGATACAGGTAAATACTGCAAAGGAGCATTCCTCTTTTCTGGCTTTATGATAAATACGTGATATTTTAACCGGGTAAAAAATGCAGTATTCAACTTTTAAAGTAACAAAATCACATATTAAGGAAAGTGATCTGGGCACAGTGTTCTTACATCATTGTCATTCCTGAGAGATTTCCATTGCTGAACAAATATGCATGTATGAGCCAATGTATGCTATTATGGACCAACAAAGAGGGCAGAAATGAAGTTTTCCCAGCATAATTCACTCTTGTCCCTACCACTGATCATACTTTGTGTGGCTTTATTGTAAGTTTTGGATATTTGGTATTTTATTCCTAGATGTCCATTGATTTATTCTTTTTAAATAGAATCTATCTTTCACAGCATTAGAAAAAAAAGAACACAACTAAATCCACAAGTTTTCCCCATAGTACTTTTGTAATAACACTGTTAGATGTAATACTTACATTCTTTAGAACAAGCCTCTTATTTATCTGTTTTACTACAAGGGAGAACCTTTGTCTGTGCTCTGCAGTCAGTGAGAGACTTACCAGTATCTGCTTGCCTTGCCTGAATCGCACTTCGTGATTGTAAACGTTGATGATGACCTCTTTCAGGTAAGTAATGCGTCGATTCAGACGAAGAGGATAGTTCATGCCTTCAACACTGAACTGTGTCAGAGTGTCAGGTAGGTCAGGGATGGTCTGAGTCAGAATGTACGTGTATTTCCCTTGGAAGTGGTGCACCAAACCATCGAATGTGATATAATGTGGATCGCCTATGATCCGGCACTTCCCAAAACCTAAAGAGAAGGTGTTTCATTGCCTTCCAAATCTTATGCATAAATCTGTTTAATACAGATTAGATAAAAATAATTGCTGCTGACATGCAATCCTCTCGAAATAAAGATGGGTGCTCAGGCATCACCCTAGCAAATGGGCACTCAGATGGAGAGCCAACCAGAGAAACTCATTCTTCTGCTGAGAACCAGTGGGAACCAATAGAACCGAAGCACGGCAGTAGGGTTTATTACCTTTGTAGGCACTAAGCTGTACACATCGGTCCTCAGCAGAGGAATGACTGCAACACAGCATGGCTTGCAGTGGGCTTGTAAAGGTGTTGGTTTCATAATCCTCAGCAATATATTACAACAGAATTATTTGAACATGACAAGCAGTGCCTAATTTTGAAGTTGGACTGTGTAACTGCTGTAACATTGATCTCTTTTGAGGTTACTAAACTGGTCATTGGGTTCACCAGACCTTTCAGATGCAACGACTATCATTTAAGTATTCTCTTTGACTACAGTGTGCAAAGCCAATTCCTTAAGACTGCTGTGGTGCTTCAACTGTGACACTTTGTGAAAAGGGAGCAAGGGGTAGCTGGATTTGCTCTATGCTCCCGCACTGGTCATTAATACAATAGGACATATGCCATCCTATTCTTGAAAATTGAATTGTAGAGGCATTAGGCAACAAGATACCTACTAAACTGTCCAATTTACAATAAGAACATGGGATTAACTATAACATAGCAGGGCTGACACCTCAATGTAAGAACTTAGCCAGAGCAAGTACTGGATGAAAAGCACCAAGATTGGCTATTAAGTATCTGTTGGCTATTAAGTATCTGCTCTGTCCTGTTTTGCCTCTACTTTTCATATTTTCAAATCAATATGCAGGAGAAAATAAAAAATTGATTGCCAAAGGATTCATAGATGTACGTAATAGACTTTTACTTTTGGTAAATGCAGGTGGAGATATATATATATATATATATATATATATATATATATATATATATATATATGTATATATATATATATATTTAAATCAGTGAGAATGACCTGCCAAGTTTCTAGGTGTACATAATTTTCAAACTCTTGTTCTACTCTTTTCTTCAAATTCCCTGTAATTTCCTATTCTGAGAAATGAGGCCTTTTTTGTGCTTAATAATGTGTCATCAGTAGTGCTGTCAGACCTGCCTCTTCATGTCGTAAAGGTTGGAAGTGCCACGTAAGAAAGAATGCACACTCACATCCCTCCTCCTTCTCTAGTCTTCATGTAATAGCAGATGAAGATCTGCCTGAACGTACCTGTTGGATTGCACTTGTATTTTCCACTTTTGATCACGCAGGTTTCTTTAGAATCACATCCATAACTCTGACATTTGATGACACCATTCTGCTGACATTCACATCTTTTGGTGCAGTGCGGAGTAATCCAGGTATCCCCAGCCTGGACACAAATTATGCTATATTACCAAGGTGCTGAGCAATAGGAAGTCAGTAGCAAAATGAATGGAGAGTGGCTAGGTGCATCCTGCTGGCCATTCCACAACTGCTCAATCTAGGTGTAATCTTACCAAGAAACTGGGAGAGGGGCAATCTCAGTCCATTTATTTTCCACAAGGGAATTAGAACACATAATAGGAATAGGATAGACCACCCAATTAACTGTTATCAGGTTTCCAGTATGCCTCAATGTTGGCTTCAAGGTGCAAATTACCACATTGCTGCATCCTCTAACAACTTAAGCCCACAGCTTTTGCTAAAAAATGAAATGTATTTAAAATGGTAGACTCTGAAGACTTTCCTTTCTCATCCTGTTGGACACAGGACCAATTTCCTGCAAGTTTTGCTGTCAGAGATTTACTCTACAATGAACTACTTACACTGTAGTAATTGTTGTCATCATCCCTGCAGCCACAGTTGCTGAGTGGAACACACTTGTCATTACTGAGCACATAATTATTATCACACTCACAGCCCTCTGTGCATGAGTCTGTCTTCTCACAAAGGGATGAGGCAAAGATGTCATTGCACGTTGACGGGCAGGCAGAGGCACAGGCTGTGTAATGGCTGTTGGATGGACAGGGCAATGCTGTGTGGGTGAAGAGAATAGAAGCAGTGTTATTAAACACATTAAAACAGATGTTCTTGCCTGATATCTTCAACTTGACCTGTAAAATAATGGTGTAGGACCACCTTCTTATAGATCATTTTGCTCATCAAACAAAACCTTTACCTTCTTTTCTTTCTTTTTTTCATAATTAGATGGTATTTTTGTTGAGTGGATGGAGTGTGGCAAGAACTTGGCCCTTAATAAGCAACTGTCTGAATTGTCAGTGAGTGGCTTTGATCCCTGTGTTCAGTTTCCCATCTTGTTTTTTATTTCTGATTGTATTACTGTTATTATAGTTGGACTTGATGATCTTGAAGATCTTTTCCAACATAAATGATGCTGTGATTCTATTATTTCTCCATTTTAGACTCACTGAAGTATCTCAAGACATTCATTTGGCTACGAAAACCATCCTAACTCCACACTGTCATCCACAACTCATCTAGTTGTTATCAATGGGTTTAGTTCAGCTTGCGAACAGTTCAGCAACAGAGCCAAGTAATAAAATCATAACAATAGAATTGCTTATTTTGAAATTTTTGTCTTAATTATCCTTCATATAACTTGTCTACCTAATAATGCTCATTTGTCTTATGCCGTCAGCCATCCAATCTGCTGTTGTTTTATTTTTTTTTTTTTTGTGCACTTACGACAGAATGTGCTATTCCTCCATGTAATGGTGATGCCTTGATTCCTGCAGGTGTCCACATAGAACTGAACTATGTCGCAAAGAGCAGACTTCATGCCATCATACTGACACATGTCATAGGTGCAGATTTTTATGAAGTCTTCAGGCTCCACCAGATCATGACATGCTTTGAATTTGTCTGATTTTAGGACATTGCACTGGCTTTCAATGGTTGATTTATTCTCATCAGTGCAAGGAGGAACATCATCTTCTCTTGAGTCTGATAAGCAACTGCAAGAAAGCACAAAAACATCTGCACTTGAGTTTCAAGGACATAAGTGAGACTGAGAAAGAAGCTGGAAAGTTTATTGCTACTGAAAGGTACTGAATAAATAGTGATGGAGGCTGCAGTCTTACTTCTGTCTACAAGTGGAAGAATAGCAGCAGTAGATCTGCACGGCAATCACCATGCTGCTTCTTGGCACTCAACCTGATCCTGATGAGAGGACTGATTTCCCAGCTTGACTTTGGACCTGCCTCATCTCTGCAAAGTTGTGTGGTGATCTGGACTCTTCGCTGAACCTGGCTGCAACCCATAGGCATGCACTGCTTGCCTTCTGTGGACACTGTGGCATGGGCTTTGGCTGATAAACCCATGGTTGTACAAACTGTGTTACCATGCTAGGCTCTCTGTACCTTTGGGGACATCTGGTCATCACTGTTCCTGAACTCCATCCTCCTGTTCTAAGTACTCTTTTCAGTGTAAAGTAAACATAGGCTGTGTCCACACTGTGGGCTACTCCAAAGCTTAATTCCCCAAGTGTGTGTGAGGATCAGTAAAATGGCTGTGATTTCCATCTGGCCTGTATGGTGATTTCTGGTGGTGATGTTTTTTTCTTTTGAACTTTTAACTGTAGAAGAGAAAAATCTCGTACACACTGTTCGTATGTTACAAAGTTGTAAAATAGACAAGGCAAGTAGAGGAAGAGTGTTCCAAAGAAAGATGGAAGGTATGAAGTAATGCTTACCCTGCATCACTGTCTTCTTCCACTTTCCAGCTATTTCCAAACTGTGTGACACTGACAATTGTACCATTGGGCAAGGACAGATCATCTTTATAATTATCGTTGAAGTTACCACACAAGCCTTGTACCTGCAAGCAAACAAGAACTATACTCTAAAAACAATCTGCTCTGCACCAGCTTCCCCAGTAAGTTCTTAATCATTGCCTCTGGAATGATGAGGTGGAAACACTAATGACAGTCAACCCTGTACTAAATATTCCAGACATACTGACTGCAACAATAGAAAATAAACAGATGATATGATACTCTAAGACTTCAAGCCATTTAATTCTGTTAGCTGGATGTATTCCCCTAGCTGGGTCATTTTCTGTCAGTTCTCCTTTGCAACACAAGGAAATTGGTTTAAAGAGAAAAAATAGGAAAAAAAATGATGTGTGTTATAATACAGCTATGAAGAAAGATGCAGTAGCAAAACATGAGAACAAAGAAAATGAAAATAAATACATAAGCAATGGTTTTGAAAGAATACCAATATGTTTACACAGTAAATCTTACCTTTGAGAAGTAAGATTGTGGGAGAGTTATTTCCAGATAATCATCGCCATCATATTTCACTATCACACCAAAGTCTGTTTCCACTACTAGGTAACTGCCAACATTTCCAACGGATACGCCCCGCACTCGGTTCTCCACTGGACTGTAGACCCTCTCATTGTTCAGCTGGAGACATAAATCATTTGTCAGTATGGACGATCTCCCATGAATGCTTTTATGTTGAATCTACATTCCTTGAAGTGCTGAGGATTACTCTGGCAGTTTTAGATTCTTCACACTTTCACTATTACATATTCCACCTACAGGTTGCAAAAATCAGCTTTTCAGCTGAGGTGAGCTGGGCAGGGCTCTAACTATAGGTGATTGAGCTGACAACACTTAATGAAGTGGGGAGGTAAATTCTTTAGTTCAGACAACAGTTCTCAGATCCAGAGGCTCTGGGCTCTACCTCCAAGATAGGCTAATAGAACAACGAAACTATAAGACAAGCCTTGGGAAACTGTCAGGAATTATATTTCCCCACAACATCAATTTATGGGAGGTGTCTGTAAATTTTAAGGATATACATACATGTTTCTTATGAAACATAGAGGTCCTTTTTCCTACAGCTGCTGTAGTGAGCTGATTTTAAGATAACTCTTGCTGGAATAAATAGCGCCAACACCTACCAGGATTTCTTTGCTTTTCCGAAGGGTGATTCGTGTGTCATACACATCTATGTAGACTTCTTTCAGGTAAGTGGCCCCTCTTAGCCCTCGGTCTTCATTCTTGCCAAGGATGGTTATTGGGTCCACACTGCTGTTGACAGACTGAACCAGGGTGTAGGTGCAGGTACCCACAAATGTGTACATCAATCCATCAAAAGTGAAATAGTGGGGATCTCCTGCCACCTGACACGTTACTTGGCCTGAAAGTGAAAAAAATGATCTAAGGATTCTGGACTGGATTTCACCTTGGACTCAACTGATCATAGACATTTGTATTAGTGCAGCAACTTATCATTATTACAAGGAGAAACTTCCATAGAGGTATTTCAGATTCACAGCAATGGGCATTTACCCGGAAATGAGAAATTTCCTATAGATATCTCCTAAATTTAATTTAATAATTACATACAAACTGGCAATTTGTCAACAAATCAACTGTTTATCTGTTTCTATATGCTGTTGTAGCCGTAATGCATGCTAATTAAGAGTAATCCAGAACTTTCCTATGTAGTAATAAGAGAATACATAAGTATATGAGTAAATACAGGTATCGATATGAATGTAAATAAATATGTATCTGTATACATAATTATGTAAGAAGCTTGCTAACGAACAGTCTCTCAGAAACAGCTCTCAGTCCCAAATTTAGAACTTGTAGCACTGGTGATTCGTCTCTTGAATTTGTATGATCAAGATAAAAACAATCCAAGGGACCTTACAGGCTGTCGGGCAGCATCAATTTTTGCAGATATCAGTTACAGTAGAAGGGAATCAATGACCACAAGACAGATCATCATGTCTTCTTGCATCTTACTACTAGCAGCAGTTAGTTGGAATTATCTTTGCCATCACATATGAAAAGATATTTATGAGAAAGTTAGAGAGACAGTAAGAATCTAACCATGGAACTGACACTGGGAAGAATTTTCTGGGAGGACTTACCATTGGAATGACAGCCCAGCACACCATCCTTAACACTGCATTCCTCTCGTACTCCACACTCCCAGACTGAACAAGTGATCACGTTGTTAGCATTGCAAGTGCAGCGTTCCGTGCAGGAAGAACTGGTGAACCAGCTTTCACCCAGCTGAGGGGGAAAAAATATGTAGAATTATATACTATAAGATAAACAGGATGGTAATGTCATAAGGGACAGTCTAATTATTAGTATTTGAATGTGTACGATACATGATCATTTACTCAGTTACTACCACAGAACTCAATGATCAAGAAGGCTGGCAAAGTGAATCTTTTTTACTATTATTAACAGTGTAAATAGCAATTGTGTCTTTTCTCACAATGATAGAAATTGAGATAATTTGTTCTTTCTTGTTTTTGTTTTTCTTTAAATACTGTCTATGGTAACTTGCCTCGTGATAGCGGTTTTCGTCATCAACACAACCACAGTTGCTTTCTAGCACACATGTGTCCCCACTCAGAACATAGCCATCCTTACAGAAGCAACCCTCCACTGGCAGTGAGCTACAGGTGTTAGTGGCCGAGGAGCTCACACAAGTAGAAGGACACCTAGTTCCACAGCCTTGGTAGATGCTGCCTCCAGGACAGGACATTGCTGGAGGAAAAAGGAAAAAATAAGATCACTAATAAGGACAAAAATATTATAAAAATTATCCCGATGCTTTCATTTTCACTGTTTGCTCCTGAAAATTAGGAAAGCTGTTGCATGAGAGTCTGACACTGGAGAGTACTGATTACCAAGAATTTTCTTGCACTGTGAGATGATGACTGGCATTTGGCACTGATGGGCAAGACTAGTAGGCCACCCTGCACTTATCTCACTTGGGAAGTCAAATATTGCAGGCTTGTCTTGAGCATAGGACTGATGTGATCATACAGACCTAAATGTGCTTTGTTCTGTAATCCTTCTTCTGGGGGTATAAAGACATCCAGATGTGCTGGAAACTAATCTTTCTGATTTTGGCTGCCTTTAGTATCTAAACAGGATTACAGCAGCAGTGCAGAGCTGTCTGCTAGTTTTTATGAAAACAGCTTAGCTCTGTTCAAAGCCCTGAAGATCACTAGTAGGCGACAGAGGGCAGCAGGGAGGTCATGGAAAAGAGGAGCATGGAAAAGATAAAACCCCTAAGTATGTACAATGCAGCTATGTCATGGCAGATAAAAGTTGCTGAGGCACTGCTTTCAAGTTTCATCAGAGGCAGAGCCATGTATGTCCTCCCACCTTTGGGCAATTTAAGACAGAAAAGAGAAAACAGGGAGGAGCTGGTTAGAAAGCTTGGGCTGGCCAGGGAGATATAAGGCTGCAGGAGGGATCACATCTTTTCAAATCTAGTTTTCATTACATGGATCTAAACCTAATTTTCAGCAGTATAGTGGACAACAGTAAATTTCATAAAGCTTTAGTTTGAGCCACAACTCTCCAGGCTACTCATATCCAGGGATTAAATAGAGCATTTAACTCCTCTGAGCTCTGTTATTTCCTGACTACTCAAGTCACTCAATTTAGGGAATAGAAGCATCTCTTCATGTACCAGCTGGTATGTCTCTGTTACTGCAGTTACTACCTGAACACCTGTCATATTTAAAAATGGACCTAAAAATCAGATTCTTTTCCATTGAGATCCCCTGAGAAAATACATTCTGCTTTCACACCCCTCCCGCTACTCAGGGAAAATACTGTATTTTACAGAAGTCTTGAAGCATTTGTCTATTCCCATGGTCTGAAAAAAACACCTAAATACTATTTATGTGATAATCTGTGAAATATCACCACACGTGGGTTTCATTCACTTCCGTAACTACAGTAGGATCTCTTACTTCTGACAGCAAATGCCATCAGTCATCTACCTTTTTCAGATTCCTAATTGATTTTTTGTTTGAACTACTGATGGAAGGAGCATTTGAGAGACAGTCCTACTAATGTGACTGAGCAGTCATCTTCTCTAACACCATAACCAAACCATAGGTATTTAAGTCCTGGAATATGGCCTTAGACTGTAGAACCTGGAAGTCTATACTTTCAATCTGATTTGGGGGCTTTGAAGCTATTTTCTTCTTCTGTCTTCTCTTTATGGACAAATGGTCAGTGCTCTGTCCTAGGGTTGACTTATGTGTGCTTTTAATCAAAGGCCATTCTAAAATTATTCTTTTACCAAACTGAGCAGCTCCTGCTATAATATTATTCAAAACATAATTAGTCTGGAGATAAATGAGAATACTTCTGTAAACTTTCCAGAAATGCCTGTATCTTAAAACGTCTTACTAAACTAATTTTTGTCCAAAAGCCATCAATGAATATTGAGAGCCAAGATTTGTCAGCTGTGTTTGCTCTGTGGATGGTGGGTTTTCAGCAAAGCAAAGTAATAGTTACTCTCCCAGTGTAGAAGCTCACGTAACATACAGCTGACAATAACTCAAACTTTCCAGTAAACTAATAGGAAATTATAAATATTTGAAGAATTAGACCCAAATGTATCCAGAAGTTCATTCAAATTATTGATTTATATAAATACTGGAATAGTACTTAAGGTAAAGCAGACTCCCAACATACCAAAAGACTATATATACTTAAAGCACTACATACAATGAAATATCATACATGAAAATAGAGGAGAATGTGAACAATTTAAAGTTGAAGTACAGAATAAATATAAACCACAGCACTCACGGCAAAGAGTAGCATTTCTCCACTCTATACATATTCCAGCATTGGTGCATGACTCAGCGTAGGCCTGCAGTCCATAGCATAAGGATGTTGCCTGTCCCTCAGTGAAACACATGTCATAAACACAATTATTGAAGAAATTTTCTGGAGGCACTTTGTCGTGGCAATCCTTGAAGATTCCTGTGTAAACAAAGAAAGATATATAGAGGACAGAAAAAAAATGGGGAATTTATCACCATCATCATGTATTGTATGTCATAGCAAATGTATTGAGTTTTTCAGTCTGGCTTTGTTTAGTAAGTTGAACCAATACTTGAAAATGAGCACATACAATAAAACCTGGCCTGCTGGATCAGGCTCATTTCTTCTCCCAGTGTGATTTACACAACACAGCGTACATAAATTAGGACCTGCTGGCTAGGCAAACTAATAATTACAAACAACTTCAGGGGATCTCTAATGTGGGAAACGTCTACAGAATTTCAGATGAAGTATCTGTAATTTATGCAATGACAGTGCCCTCTGAACTATTTCATTTAGAAAGCAGAATGCAAGTCACTACAAATCAAAGAGCAGCAATGATCTGATGATCGTTCTCACATAATCTACATGAACACCTTTGCACTGTCTCATCAGTTGACATATTGTAACCTAATTTTGGCTGCTGGCACTGGAGATTTTGTACACATTCAATGTAAGCTCAGAACAATGGGCAAAAAGACAACTACAAGCATTCTACCTGTTGGATCTGTGATCATGCCACATGCTGTATTCTTCTTTGCTTCACTCTCCAGTGCAGCATCACATTGGTCTTCTGTTCCAACAGAGCACCTTGTGAAAGTAAACAAAATGAAGATTATGTACATCTCTTACTACCAGGTCTTTTGTGGCATTCTGATACACAATAATTCCACATAATAGGGTGCATTTTGTTACAGTCAGAAGACTTTGTCTAGCCTCTTTGAATGGCTTATACGATCCCATTTCTGAATGCTCTTTTCAATGCCTTTTGGGATAATTAAAAGACTGTTCTCACTGAAAAAAAAAAAAAAAAGGAAAAAAGGAAAAAAAGAGCTATGGAATCCAGTAAGTTAATGATTTCCAGTCAGGGGTCTTTAATTAGAAGAAGGTGCTTCCTACTTCTAGTGGGTAATTGGAAGATGCAGAATAGTACCCGGATGACAAAGCCAGTGAGTGGATAGATATTTGATTTCATAGAGTTTGATTAGCAAATGTGATTGGATTCCTGTACATACATGGTGTTATTGTCAGTTACAAGCCAGCTTTGTCCAAGTTCATTGGAATTACTTGCAATGTCACCATTAGGCTTTATGTTGTCATCATTTGGATCACCATTATAATTACCTGTGAGGGTAAAAAAAAAAAAAAGTATTTATAGGATACATCAAGTTCACACCTGTAGAACAAACAGATGTTTCAAGCTATTATAGAAACTGCAGTTGAACTAGTGAGAATATATATCCAACACCAATGTGCACTGGGCAAAATAAGAAGAGTGTTTGGATCTCAACTGTAGTGCTGGACTAAAAATCAAATGGTATCATTTGCATCGTTACATTCTTGGGTAGGTTTCCTGAACTGAAAGTGAAAAACAAACACACAGAGATAATTTAAGTATAAAATTTCACATAATCTAGATAAAAGAATAATCAGAAAACCAGAAAATAATAAGACAAGCAACTGTCACAATTTCTACAATCCCATTTCCATCCTGAAGTATGTTTCATGTAATCACCTGGGTTCCAGAATGTTGTTCCAACTAACCCTTCTCAGATTCAGGCACTGCCAACATGATTGATGAAAAATGACTGATTGCTACACCACTTACACCCCACTCTTATTAGCTATATAAATAATGTGTAGCTCCTGTTACTTCGTGTTCTTACTGTAAAAGAATTTCTTACAGAATGTATTAGAATATGCCCTTTATGTCTGACCCGTTCTTTCTCAAAGAACTCTGAAAGGATTCTATCTTTAGTGTTGCATATAGCACTTAATGTTTTGTGGCATTTGAATTTTTGAGATTATGTATCTATTTTTTCTTATTCATCAGGTCTGTCGTCTGTCATCCATATTGATCCCTTCATTGCTTTGTTTTACTCTAGACATTATCTATCTAAGGCAGAACAGAATCATTACTCATTCTAATTTACACCAATAAGTGAATTTTGTGTTTTTGTATTTTTAAAATATTAACAGCTGAAAGTATTATTTGTAGTTATACCTCAAAGCATTCCAGATGGATAATGTATCACTAGATATTTGTAACAATGTGCAGAGACTGAAAAAATTCAGTAATTTCTCTTTGCTGCTGCAAAGTCTAGTTCCTTTGGTAAATGGTAGTTTTATGTAGATTAAATATGACACTAAGAAAAAAGTTTAAGTAACTAGTCTAACACAACTTAACACTAGTCTACACAACTCATTAAAAAGTGATTAAGACTACGACTTACCACACAGGCCACAGAGCAGACCACTGTAATCAGAGGGCACAGAGACTTCTGCATAGTGATTTCCATCATATCTCACCCACAGTCCAAAGTCAGTTTCCAAGAGAACATAACCACCACTGCTTTGAATACTGATCTTCTTTTCAATAAATATGGGTAGGTTCATTCTGCTGCCATTCACCTACACAACAAGTTGTAAAAGTTAGTGTGTGGCTGCTGGAACTCATCCAACTACAAGCAACTGGAACAGTTTAGTGAAAGATGTCATTTTGTGCACAAAGAGAATGGGACACAACTAGATAACATTTCATCTAAGCAAATTTTTTTGAAATCTCACTAGAAAAGGTGTATGTATCCAATGACAAGAGAAAAACGACTATAAATTCTACAAAAAAACAAAAAAACAAAAAAAAAAACAAGCAAAAAAACCCTCAAAACTTAATTATCTTCATGTTAGTTTAAAAATGTATTTTAAACAAGTATTTTCTTACATTCACTTTCTTGCTTTTCAGCATAGAAATCTGATAGCCATAGACTTCCACTTGTACTGACTTCACATAAGAGACTTTGGTGTTGGATCCTCTGTGCTCATTTGTTGTGTACACATCAAAGTATGGAATATTCTGAGAGATGTTACACACTTTGGAGAGGGTGTAAGAACAGTTTCCCATGAAATTATGAACTCTCTGGTCAAAAGTGTTGTAATGTGGATCCCCAGAGGCACTGCAGGAAGCACGGCCTGGGAAGAAAGACAGAATAGTTTCCTCTGAATCTCTGCTGTAAATGCTGCAGTCACTTTGTTTTACTTCCTAATTCCTGCTCAGCTGTGAAGTGATGTCTACAGTCAAGAACAGAGTACAAAAGAGGTATGCAAACTTTCCACAGGAGAGACTACCCTTCTACCGCAAGTGGAAATCACTCAAGTTCTGTGCCAATTCATGAAGAGCAAGCCATCTGATCCAGGGACTCATTTTCTATATACTGGAGACACATCATGTGAAACATGATACCTAGGAGTTGATCTGAATCACGAACATCCAACTAAAGGTCAATAAACACTACAGACAAAACCAGAAAGCAGATTGAAAGGCGATCTCTGAACATATAGAAAGAATCTACACAAAAACATTAGAAGGCTGGCTCCTCTCTTTTCGCAGATGGAATGAACTGCTGCAATTGCTGTCAAGTGTTCTGTAGTCAAATCAATTACGGAAATTAAGTAAAACCTCTGGCAATCCAGCATAACGCTGTAACTTTGTCTGTTAGACTTGAAGTAAGAGAACTGAACTGGTAAAATAAGCAAAAACAAATGGGAAGGGGAAACAAAAATACCCAAGCCAGGATGCAGAGTGAATGCTGTTTGTGGAGGCTTAGGTGAGGTGACGGGAAATGGCCTTGTGGGCTTTGCTGTTGATGGAACAACAATAAGACAGGGTTAAAGGACGTATGAGTTAAAATGGGATATTTGCTACAAGCACCTCATAGAAATTATATTAAAAATTCTGCATAATGGCAAACCACAACCTCTGAACCACATCATTTCCCAACCCTAGGCAATGACCCTGAAGCAGATCTGCATAAATTTGTCAGCAACAGTACAAAATGGGCACAGGTCATGGCAATACCTGAGCTTGGTGTGGTTGTCGCTGGGTGTGGAGGCGGCGTTGTGGTGTCTGGGAAGGGTGCCTCAGTTTTTGGTGTTGAAGAACCTGTGGCAAGAGAGAGGTAGTGGAGATGAGAATCAACGTGGCTGTTTTCTGGCCAGCTCCCAGTACATTATTGCCAGTGCCATGACAATGAAGGCAGTGGGCAGGGTGTACACAGTGGGCAGGGTGTACACACTTTCTGAGAAAAGAGTGCCACTCCAGTACTCTCCCAGCAGCATGGCTGGGGGAAAAGGAAACCACAGTCCCATTACTACATCCATCCCAAACCCTAGGCATTGACATTGAAGCAGATCTGCATAAAGTTGCTCTGCAAAATGATCAGCAACAGTAGAAAACAGGCACAGGTCATGGCAATACCTGAGCTTGGTGTTGTTGTCGCTGGGTGTGGAGGTGACGTTGTGGTGTCTGGCAAGGGTGCCTCAGTTTTTGGTGTTGATGAACCTGTGGCAAGAGAGAGGCAGTGGTGCTGAGAATCAATGTAGCAGTTTTCTTCCCAGCTGCCAGTATACCATTCCCAAGCTCCCCAGTGCCGCAACAATGAAGGCAGTGGGCAGGGTGTACACAGTGACTCTTCTGAGAAAAGTGTGCCGCTCAAGTACACTCCCAGCAGCATGGCGGGGGAAAAGGAAACCACAGCCTCTGTGCTCCAGCCATCCCTAAGCCTAGTTGTGAGACTTGAAGGAGATCTGCAAAAAAATGTGTCAGCAGCAGTACAAAACGGGCACAGGTCATGGCAATACCTGAGCTTGGTGTTGTTGTCGCTGGGTGTGGAGGCGGCGTTGTGGTGTCTGGCGAGGGTGCCTCAGTTTTTGGTGTTGATGAACCTGTGGCAAGAGAGAG